GGAATTCTTGTAAATTAGGTTATTCAGGGGACCTTGACATTTAAAGGAATCCTGTTTACGGCCTTTGGTAAAGCAAATCATTATATTGTCGGTAATGGCCTTCAGTGTTATCAGTTTTGAATGGGCGGGTTTTTATGTGGGGTTTTCTTAAAAGTGGAAACTGGCTGTAGCCACACAAAGCTCATGCTTTGATTCATTCAACAACCAATTAGCAAACACCCACCTTGTATCAGGTGCTGGGCTAATGGTGCTGAAAGTCATGACCCTGCCTGGGAAGCTAAACCCCGGAGGGCCGGCGAGGCAGAGAGAGAGGAGAGCCAGGCAAGTGTTTGGTCTCCGATTTATTCTGCTCATTTACCGGGAAGTGTGTGTTTTGGTGAATGCCACGCGGGACGCCAGAGAATCGCAGTGATACACCTGGTGTCACCTCTCGGCTGCTGCCCTGGCCGCCATTTAGAAAGGATTCCTCCAGCCTGGACATCCACGGCACTTTCTGGCTCCGTGAGAGTCCTCGTGGTCCCTCCCTGTGTGTGGGTTTCATTTTGCCCCGTCTCCTGCTGGGCTGCCAGCTCTCTGGGGCCGGGCTTCATGTTGACAAGCCTCAGCTACCAGAACACCTGCCAGGGTGAACACGTGTTGACGAGGGCCAGGGCCTCAGGGGAGGGATGACCCTGATGTCCCTCCTGGGCATGAGGTGGCCGCTGGCTGAGTGGGGCTGCGAACCGGCCTCCCGGCCCTGAGCGGCGTGTGGGCCTGCGCTCTGCTGCCGGGGCCCCGCTGCTGCTTTGTGGCCCTTCGTCCGCCTGGTAACACTCCTGTCAGCGGTGACACTGTCAGTGTCTGCTTTTGCTCTCGCCCCTGCAGTTCACACAGCTGCCCCCTCTCCAGAACCATTTTCTCATGTCACTCCCTGCTTAGCCCAGGCTAGTTCAAGGTCATTGCTCTTCAGGGTGAAATCTAAACTGCCAAATGTGACCCGTGGGACCTCGAGTTGCCAGTTGCGAGGGCTCTGTGCCCGCTCTTCTTCCTGGAGCAGTCTCCTCGCCCCGGGTGCTCAGTGAACTCTTCCTGGTGCCGTGTCTTAGCTGAGGTCACTTCCCCAGAGCCTTCCGTGACCCCAGCAGAGTTAGGTCCCTCTAGGGCAGCGGTTCTCAACCTGTGGGTCCTGACCCCTTTGGGGGTCGAACGACCCTTTCACAGGGGTCGCCTAAGACCATCGGAAAACACATATATAATTACATATTGTTTTTGTGATTAATCACTATGCTTTAATTATGTTCAATTTGTAACAATGAAATTGGGGGTCACCACAACATGAGGAACTGTATTAAAGGGTCGCGGCATTAGGAAGGTTGAGAACCACTGCTCTAGGGTGTGCCCTTCTAGTGCCCTGTACTTCCCAGCCCTTACAGTTGTGATGGAGTCAAGCTGTCTTCTGTCTCCCCGTTCACAGCACGATGCCTAGTTGTTGATGAAGGACTGGACCTGGAAGTGAGCTTGCTTCTGTGCTGACCAGCGAGAGAGAGGGGGTCATGGGGACTGTCCCGCCCCCCCCCCCCCCCACCCCCAGAGTACACTGTAGCAGGCTTGAGCTCCTTGCATCACCCAAGGATATTTTTTTTCCATTGCTTTTCAGAGAGAGTGGGAGGGAGGGAGGGGGAAGAGAGAAACATCGATGTGAGAGAGACACATTGACTGGTTGTATTTGCCTCCTGCATGCGCCCTAACAGGCTGGGAGCGAACCTGCAACCCAGGTATGTGCCCTTGACTGGGAATCAAACCCGCCACCTTCCATTGCGAGGGCCGGTGCTCTAACCATTAGCAACACTGGCCAGGGCACACACGCCTTTCTCTTAGCTCAGATTCTGTCCGCTGGGGTCAGAAGCCATGGAGCAGGTGTCAGGGAGGGTGAGGAAAGCACTAGAAGCCAGGACTCTGGTCTCCTCTGACGTGAAGTTCGCTTTGTAAAGTGACCTGAATGCAAGAGACATAAGGCACTGTCATCCGAGGGACAGCAGATCGGGGACACGGACATTCCCCTGCGTCAGGCAGGACTGACCAGCCCAGCACGTGAGACGGCCCTCGGCCGGGCTGATTCACTCCATTTTCCTGCAGGAGGCGCCACTGCGGAGTTGCAGCAGACGCAGTTGGAGACAGTATGACGAGCAAGGTGATAGAAGACGAGAAGCAATTCTACTCCAAGGCCAAGACGTACTGGAAGGACGTCCCCCCGACGGTGGACGGCATGCTCGGGGGGTACGGCCACATCTCCAGCATCGACATCAACAGCTCCCGGAAGTTCCTGCAGAGGTTTCTGAGGGTAGGCAGGTCTGGGGTGCTCTCCGGAGCATGTGCCGGTGCCTCCTCCGACTCTGCCGCTGCAGGGCCTGCGGTGTGTCCGTCTAGGCCCGAAGGACAGCGACCCAACAGGCGCTGGCTGTTATGCTTGGGGTTCCCTGTCCCAGAACTGAGTAGTCTCCCTTTAAATTGTCCCATCTTCCCAGAGACAAAACCTTGGCTCTCTGGCCACGTCTGTGGGCATTTGGGCTGTGGGTGTTGGCTGTTCTGCGGAAGGCAAGCTCCTGGTCACTCCTGCCCGGGCCTCTCCTGCCCTGGCTGGAGCCTCCCTGGTCCTCCCCCTCGTCTGTTAGCGAGCAGCAGAGGCCGCTCTGGTTGTCTCTCCACCCACTTGCCATTGTCCCAGGTTTGTTCCAATCCCGTGCCATTGATTGGCCTCTTCTGGTCTCTCACTGACTGAATTCTTCCTGTTCCTGCTGTCGTTTTAACGGGGTCTCAGGAGTGAAATGAAGGCACCTGCTCAAGTCAGCACCTCGAAGTGGAAGCTGGCTTTCATTTTAGAAATCTGACCCAGGAAAGGTCACGCTCACACCACCGTCCAGGCTAGATGAGTCCCTCAGGGGCTCGTGAGGCAGGGCCCTGGGCAGTGACGGGGACCCTCTGGCTTTCCGAGCCTTCCTGACGCCTGTCCTGTTTTAGGAAGGCCCCAACCAGACGGGGACCTCCTGCGCCCTGGACTGCGGCGCCGGCATCGGCAGGATCACCAAGCGGCTGCTCCTGCCGCTCTTCCGGGCGGTGGACATGGTGGACGTGACGGAGGACTTCCTGGCGAAAGCGAAGACCTACCTGGGTGAGGAGGGCAAGAGGGTGAGGAACTACTTCTGCTGTGGCCTCCAGGACTTCAGCCCGGAGCCCAACTCCTACGACGTCATCTGGATCCAGTGGGTGATAGGTGAGCATCCTGCTGCCGTCTGCTCTGTCCTGCGCGTCCCGCTTCCCAGAGTGGAGTCCCCATGGCCTGGAGCCGCTGCTCCTGCAGCACCAGGCGGGCAGCAGGGGTTCCTCCAGCCCCCCTGCCCCAGGACCGTGGGGCCCGCCACCTTAAAGGTACATCTCTCCCCAGGTTTTATTAACTCAGCACCTGCTGTGACCCATTGGGGAGGCAGTTTTTTGTTGAAAAAATTTAAATGCCCAGTTAACTAACTTAGAACATGGACAGATTTTATAAAAGGGTTTTTTTAAGAGGACGGTTGAAGCTTTGGCTGTCCCTGCTATTGGCAGTGAGCCGGCTTTGCCATCATGTCCTGTGCCAGCGGTCAGCCACCCTCCCAGGCAGGCAGCACCACCACCCTGTGGGACCTACTGCATCTGGCCCTGTACTCTGTGGTCCCAAAAAGCCTGTCTGGAGTTCTAACGGAGGGAAGAACTGTTGGGTACACCGCCCTGGTCCAGGCCTAGGAGGGTGGGTGGCATGTGGAGTGAGGTATCAGGCAGGGCCTGAAGTCACTGGTCAGGGTGGAATCCCAGCTGCACATTTCATGGCTGCCCGTGGCTCGGTGACTTCGACCCAGTCTCCTCTTTCACAAAATGGGCTTCAGTGACCCCCCTGGACTGCTGAGGGCAGTTGGCCCTGTGTGTCAGTCGTAAAGTGCAAAGTGGAATGAGTGGTGGCTGAGGAGCAGCCAGTGGCGAGTGTGCCCGCACCATCCTGTTCCCACGCCTCTGCCTTCCAGGCCACCTGACGGATCAGCACCTGGCCGAGTTCCTGCGGCGCTGCAAGCAGGGCCTGCGCCCCAACGGCATCATCGTCATCAAAGACAACATGGCCCAGGAGGGCGTGATCCTGGACGACGTGGACAGCAGCGTCTGCCGGGACCTCGAGGTGGTCCACGGCATCGTCCGCAGCGCAGGCCTCAGCCTCCTCGCCCAGGAGCGGCAGGAGAACCTCCCCGATGAGATCTACCACGTCTACAGCTTGGCCCTGAGATGAGCAGGGCCGCAGGGCAAGAGGGACCAGCGGGGGCGGACAGCTGGCAGCCAGGTGCCATCAGAGGCTCATGCCGATGGTTCGCAGGAGTTGAGGCCAGTAAATGTACCTGCCTGCCATCCACTGGCCATACAGGCTCTTTAACCACAGGACCCCCCGGGAGGAGTGCCATCCAATGGGCAGTGAGGCAGGCGCCTGGCTCCACTGCCCTCGGGTGGGGCCTGGGCAGTGCAGGTCTGTGGGGTATGGCGACCCAGCAGAAGCGGAGACTCCTGGTCTCCATCACCGGCCACAGGCCTGGCGGCCTGAAGAGGAAGAGAACCCTGACCCCGGCTGAGGACAGGACCTCCGGGGAGAGGACCTCCCGGGAGGGACGCGGCCGCATGTTCCGAGTCCTCTGGTGATGGGCCCTGGTGTCCGTAACGTGGTGGTCACAGCAGCCCGCAGCCGGGAGAGGCCCACGGCTCACTCTTGGCCGTGCCTTGTGGTTCCTCCTTGGCGGACGTTTTCAGTCAGAAATAAAAAGGGTGAATCCCTGTGTTGGAAGGCCCCATGGTCTGGATGGTGCTTTTGTTATGGGACAGGTGTTACCTGAGCCCTAACGCAGTGTCTGCTCGTGCTGGCCCCTCTTCCAGGACGCTGTGAGGTCCGTCATCCTGAAATGGGGGGCAGAGATGTTATCAAGGGCCCTTTAAGACCAGAGAAGTCAGTCTAATTGGGTAATATAAATATGCTTTTAGTTGCCTTAGCTTATATCTGAGGCATTTACACAATTCAAGGACCATCGTGACAGTTTTGTGAGGCTCAGCACCAGGCAGGAGTCAGCCTTCTGTCCTGGTAGCTTTCGTCCTCGGGTGAGACATTTTGGAATGTCCCCGGTCATGCATGATTGCTTTTTAGCAGAAGGCATGGTCCCCAAGACCTGGGTTTGGCACAGCCCTGTGCCCTGGTGGGCGGGGCGGCGACACCAGCAGGAAGCAGCTCCGCTCTCCCCGCCCACCAAAGCCCTTCTGTGGAGTAAAGGGCCTTGCCTGGGCCGCACCCACAAAGGCCCACCCAGTTCCTTCTGGCTTCAGCTCTGTCCATGCCGCTCACAGGAGTCTGCGCGCAGGAATGCCCACCAGTCCTTTCACGCCTGTCCCAAATCAAAGCCCTGTCATTTTCTCCCATGTGGGTTGAGAACTGGGTCACTGTCAAAGGGATGGGGGCCGTCTCCCTGAAGACACAGCCTTTCCCACAGGAATGACCGCAGCTGCCGGCTCTCCCGTACCAGCCTACACCTTCCGACGGGCAGCCTGCGCCTTCTCACAGGCGGGACCGAAGGTTCCCCCGAGGCCGCCGGGACTTTAGTCCACCAGCGGGCTGGCTGAGGGGCCCAGACCGTCCCTTCGGTCTGGAGCGGTCAGATGTCAGCCTCCACGGGGCTGCTGTGCTCACTGAGGAGGTACCACTTCAGCCTGTCGGGCAGAGGCAGGGCTTGGACCTTCGCATCCACGGGCCACGGCTGAAGGTAGTGCCGGATGTGAACTCGACACAGGTGCTTGAGGGGCGGGGGGTGGCTCTCCAGCTGCCTCAGGGAGGAGTGAAGGGCCCGGATCTTTTCTGCCAGGCTGCCCACGGGATGGATGTCGAAGTTTCCCGGCAGCTGCAGTTTGGGGGAATTAGTCACCATGAGATCCAGGACGGTCTCGGCTTTGCGCAGGAGGTCCACATGGCTCTCGTCTTCGGCGCAGCCTGGGTGGGAGCAGAGCCTGTCGAAGACCACGTGGAAGCCAGACCAGCAGGACGCTCCGTGGAGGGAACAGTTATAGGCGGCTCCGGACTCGAGCAGGAAGCGCAGGAGAGGGAAGTGTACTTGGAAGCTCTTGAGGCAGAAGTGCGTGAGCGACTCGTGGGCGGGGCACTCGCTGGGGTCGGCGCCGTGAGCCAGCAGCAGCTGCGTGACTTGGAAGCAGAAGCGGTTGATCATCTGGGCCTCCTCTTTGTCCCCTCCCACCGTCTCCCCGAGCAGGAAGATGATGCAGGTGAACACGGTGTCCCCGTCTTTGGTGGTCGCCTTCACGTCTGCCCCTGGAAGAGCCAGCGGGAGGACAGAGATGGGAGGAGCCCTTCAGCCCTAAAGTGGCCCTCGGGTGGGGAGAGCCAGCAGGACCTGCAGTCCCCGTGGAAGGGGAGGCCGGCAGCCTGGGGGGCGCCTCACCTCCCTCCAGCAGCAGCCGGATGTTCTCGGTGTTGTGGATCTGCACGCCGTCGCTGCTGGCCAGAGCGTGGAGCAGAGCAGTCTTCCCTGAGGAGGGAGAGTGAGGAAGGAGGCCAGGGAGCCGAGGGAGGGCAGCCCCGGAGGAGGAGGGAGTAGACGCTCAGATCAGAAAATGAACTTGGAAAAGGACTGACCTCAGCCAGGGCTGAGGGTGACCGCTTTCTGGCCATTCTTTCCAGCCACACACGAGAGCAGAAGGGCCGAGGTAGGATTTTGCTGGACCCTGGGATGCTACCCGAGACCTGGCTGGGTCTCTCCCAACAGGAGACATTCCCTGAGAAGCTGAGCGTGGACACCGAGGTCCTCCCTCACACAGCCGTCAAGGGGCTGGCGTGGGCCACCGGCTGCACTCTCTCAAACTCCTGCAAGTGCACCTGTGCGCACCGGGCCAGCACATGGGCTGCACCAGCCTGCCCGCCTGTCACCCTGGGGCACCCCAGAGGAAGCACCCACCATGCTTGTCGGCTGCATTAACGTCTGCCCCAAGGTCCAGGAGGCGCTGCAGGCAGGGCAGGCGCTCCGGCTCCTCGCTGGCCAGGTCCAGGGGGCTGCTCTCGTGGATCTGAGCCAAGAAAGCACAGTCGGTTGGCCTGGGAGGCTGCTCTCGCCCCTACTGCGCTCCCTCGGAGCAGGCCGCCCGGCTCTTACCCGGTCCCTCCGGTTAATGTCGGCCCCGTGGCGCACCAGCAGCTCCACCATGTCAGGCTGGTTTCGCAGGACAGCGATGTGCAGGGCCGTGTAGTAGGTGACCGGGTCTGAGGGCACAGCCAGCTCGTCAGTCCTGTCAGCACGTTCTCACAATCCCAGGACCTGGCCTGGCAGCCCAGTCCCGGCACTCCCCCCTCCCCCGACGGGCCCGGGCTGCTGTCACCCGGAGGGGTCAGAGCACAGCTGTCCTCACTGGGTGCTCCAGCACAGGCTCTGGTCAGGCCTAGGTTCGGGTCCTGGGTGTTGTAGTGGGGACGGCACGTACTTAATCTGTTTGGGCTTCAGTTTCCTCATCTGTAAAATGGGACCATACAACAGGGCCTCTCCTCTCGGGTTACTCGGGTTACTGGGAGGACACCCAGATCCTCAAGCCTGGCGACGGCACCTACGTTCTCAAAGCCAAAGCCGGGTCTCCAAGCGCCTGACTTCAGAACACCCTTACCCCCACCCCCACCCCACCTCGGCTCCTTGACCCTCCAAGAGCCTGCAGCCTCTGAGCCGGTCCTCAGAGGGGAGAGGAGCCATGCCTGGCCATGTCCTATGTCAGAGCAAAGACCGCCATTTGGTCATAAGTCGGCCCCACACGTCTCCTGGCTGACCCTGCCCTCGTGGGTGAAAAGCCAGAGAGGAAAGGAAAACGGCTCCCTCACCTCCTGTCCCCACCCAGCACCTACAAGCCAGAAGCCAGCACAGTCCCGCTGTGACTTAGGCCCAGTGTTTCCCCCTCTTCCTGTGGGATGAACGAAAATGCAAGATGGCTCAGAATAAGTGGCAGGAAATGACCTTCCCTTAGCTCTGGGCACAGTGCCAGCAGCTGCATTTCACCTTGATGGAAGCAGGGAATGAGTGGGAGCTGGGAAGGTTTGCTAAATCAATCACAGGGTAGCAGAGCAACAAGCTGCTCCTGGGCCGGAGGTGCTAAGGGCCATCTGAAGCCCGTGGGGCGGGAGGCCGCCCAGTGTGGGGTCCGTAGCCATCGCCCATGAAATAAGCTGCTAAGAGAAGACAGGCAGAGCCCAGAGGCCTGGCCGCCACCCAGAGCGGCCGCACTGAAGCCGCCTGCCCGCCCCAGCCCCGCGGGCTCCCCTGACCTTCAAAGTTGAGGTTGGCCCCGTTTCGCAGGAGAACATCGGCCGCCTGGGTCAGCCCCAGCTCGGCCATCTTCAGCAGCGCGTTGCTCACACCTTCCTGGTAGAACGGGGAGTGGGCCTTTCTCTCCAGAAGCTCGGTGAGAACAAGGAGCCGGCTCTCCTCGCTGGGCACATAGCCGGGCCTGGGCAGGAGAGAGGTGGGCCAGTTGAGGGTCCTGCTGTCCTTACACCTCCCTTCCCGCCTCGGGGCAGGGCCCTGGCTGGGGGGCAGAACTTCTCTTTGGAAAAGATCTGTGGGTCAAGCAGGTTTTTAGCTGGAGCAGCCGCCGCAGGTTTGCGGAGAAAGGACCCGATGTCTCCAGCCTCCTTCCAAGTTGCCGCCGTCAGGAGGGGGGTTTGCGGAGAAAGGACCCGATGTCTCCAGCCTCCTTCCAAGTTGCCGAGAACCTGGCCCTGCCTTGGGGACAAAGCCTGACACCCCTTCCTCAGGCACCGACAGTCCCTGAGCTGAGAGGAAACCCGCCCAGCCAGGCAACCCCACCGCCAGGGCAGGCGGCAGCCCTCCCTCCCTGCTCACCCTCCTCGCGGGACCATCCGTCTCCCGGGCTTTCCCGGGCTTCACACCCCAGCCCCAACCCTGCGACCCCCCAGCACACTGACCACTAAGAACCGCCATGACGGTCCCCAGAAGGCCAGACCCGGGGACAGTCCTTCCCGTAGCTCTTTCCCAGGCCACCATCTCCTCCTCTTGGCCAGGCTTCCCTCCCCGACAGGGTCCCCCCATTCCCCCCCTCCCCCTTAGTCTCACCATCTGCACCCCTTCAATTGTTTGGATCAAGGCTCGACCCTTACTGCCTGGGCAGGATGCCCACAGCCACTAGAGAGCCAGTGCCCATGGGTGCCAAGCGGCAGCCGGCCGGGAGCTGGCCCTGCCCCACCCCGCCCCAAAGCAGCCGCGGGGAACCCCCAGGGCGGGGAAAAGGGCCCGTCCCCCCCCAAAGCCCCCGGGGGGGGGGGGGGGT